CCTTCCTTCCTTCCTTCCTTCCTTCCTTCCTTCCTTCCTTCCTTCCTCTCTTTCTCTCATTCATTCATTCATTCATTTGTTTGTTCGTTCGTTCATTCATTCATTTGTTCCCTATTTTTAAATCATACAAGGGGTGCTACTGATTTATGTTCTACAAATTGTGACACTAGATCTACAGTATGTGACCGAAATGAGGCAACCTGGAAGAGGGACTTAAGGACACATTTAGTCTTTGGTGTTGAGTTATGGCCACACTCTTAAAAACACATGAGGCTAGGGGGAAAAGCAATGATATAATTAAATGTAAATTATATCATAATTTAATTCCCCATATAGTTTTCTTCATATGACCCATGAAAAATTACAATTTGCTGGCAAGTTTTGGAAGGACTCAGGTTGAAGCTGAATTTTTTTTTGGTGGGGGGATGATGTGCTGTTTTGGGAACCTCGTCTGTGCCTCTGATCTAGATGGACTCACTTGGAATAAGAACAATCTACCAGTCTGGTTGAAATTGAAGTTGTAATCTAACCCAATGAGCAAATCCTTTGCCTCTAAGTATGAAACCACAGGTGGAGATTTCAGTACCTCCAGCACTACTTTGTAAATCAGTCAGTTCCCTAAACCAGGGGTCTCCAACCTTGGCAACTTTAAGCCTGGTGGACTTCAACTCCCAGAATTCCCCAGCCAGAGTCAAAGTCCACCAGGCTTAAAGTTGCCAAGGTTGGAGACCCCCTGCCCTAAACTGCTATATGCCAGTAATGGAGTCCATTTCTCATAATCCCCCAACCAGCTTATCCCTTGACTTCCGAAATTTCTTCTGCCGAAATCTTACCTTTTTATCCTCGTTTCGTACTCCAGCTTTTGTTTGGTCATTTCCTGCTTTAAGCTGGACACCAGGCTGTGCAAAGCACTGTGATTGCCTGTGTTGTTCACAAAGGTTTCACTGTTGTCACTGCTGCTTGTAGCCCTGCTGCTTCGTCCCCCCACGCTTCTCCGCTCAACTTTGCTCTCACCCTCAGCCAGGTTCAGGAGATTGTCCTGTTGGGGCTCATCTAAAACTGGGTCTTCAAAATTGCTCCCATAAAAGTCCTGCTCGGGACACGTGGTGGTGGACGAGCGGCAGGAGTTGGAATGTTCTGGGAGGGATATCTCACACGAGGACGTAGACCAAGTTGCGCTGTCCACACTCTGCTTATCTTCAGCATTCACTGCCGAGAACTGTTGGTGCACGTTGTCGTAAGTGGAAAGTCTGTTGTGTTGGCCCGAGTCACTCATGGGCTCCTTCTGCTTGTTGTCTCTCAAGGTCACATACCCATTAGGCATCCAGCTCTGGCAACGGCTGTTCAAAGAGTTGCTGTGGGCATCAGTGCTGGAGATACCCATCCTCACCCCTCCGTTCGGCATGCTGTGCGTGCCCATTTTGGTTACCGGCCCTTTCAGAGAAGATGTTCTTCTGCTCTGCAAGGTACCGTTGGGTAGCGAGGGTGACGTTTTCTCCTGACTCTCTACAGAACTGCTGAAGGAGCCGTTGGTGACTATCCCACTCCCTTTATTAAATGCCGGGTTCTTTTTCACTGTAAGGGGCGGACTCCTGGTCATGTCCAGTTTGTGAATGCTGTTCCTTGGACTGTTTGATTTGCTTCCGGGCTGAGCTGTAGGAGATCCATTGTCCACCATGGTTCTTTGAGGGGATTCAGGCTTGTCCCATGAACATTGCCTTACAGGGGACGACTCCTTGGTATTATTATTCTCTCTGTTCTGCAGCTGACCAATGATCACTTTCTTTTGGACCTCGTTGTTGTTGTTGCAAACCTCCTGTCCACTTTGAGACTCTGCATCCTTGGGAAACAACAGCTCATGTTCACTTATCATCATGGACATTAATTGCTGAACCACCACAGTACCTAATGGAAAAGAACACAAACAAATCCAGGTTCAGCATGCCATTATTTTTGAAAAAGAAAAGCTACGTTTGCATATACTTTGCACCCAAGCTTATCTTTGCATGAGATCCAATGTCTCGTGGTGGGTGTGATGACCCGGGGCGTGGCACAAAGGCAACTCAGCCAGTGAATAAGTATGGGTCCCTTTATTAGCTGCAACTTTGACCCCAATGTGCTGGTTACTTTCTGGTCTGGAGAAAAACTCTCCCACGAGCCTGCACCAGCCTTTGGCTGCAGATATTCTAGTCCAAACATTATAAACTGAAAACTTTAAACTATAAATCCATTAAGGCAAAATAAGGTAATAAATCTGGTAGAACAAGATATGGAGTTCCAGAAATGAAGTAACAAGGCAGTAAATCAAACCAGTTAGGAGGATTCCAGGAAGTCATAAGAGCAGCCAACACAAGATAAACTCAACATTTGCTCCCAACAACCACCCCTCCCAAATGGTTCTCCTTTAAACTCCCTCCCCAGGTGTGCCTTGTGAAGGGAATCAGGGCCCTTTCCTCCCTCATAAGCCATGCAACCCAAGTTGCTCTCTTCTCCATTCTTCCCTGTGTGCCCTAGGATGAAGGGGGGGGGCTTGGTCTTCCTCTGAACCCTCTCTCCCTTGTTCTATCTCTTCCTTGCTCTGCCCAGCCTGACTTTGCCCTTCCCCAGTTTCCTACAAAGCCAATGTAGCCACACTCCCAATCCCTCTCAGCTGTTCATCTTTCTCCTCAGATTCAGACTCAGACAGGGGAATGACAGTGGGTTTCTTTTCCAATGAAAAAAAAAGTCTTTTTCATCTTGAACAGGGGTGTCAATCTCAAGGCCCAGGGGCTGGATTCGGCCCATGGGGTACTTAGATCCGGACCACAGGGCCATCCTGGAAACAGCAAAGGTCCTTCTGCCAGGCCGTCACAGCTGAAAACGGAGCTCGGGAGCCCATTTTCAGTGGCAGAATGCTCAGGCCACCATAGGCACCCCCAACATGAGTGATGTTGAGCTGGCCATACCCACCCTGGCCGCTCCACTCCCCTGAGGTCAAACACAACCCTCATGCAGCCCTCAGTGATATGGAGTTTGACACCCCTGTTCTAGAAAGTTCTTGCAATCCTCATTTGCCATAAGCAAAGCACCAATGATGCAGGATCCAATCTGGGTTGGTCTCTGGGACCAGAGGTTTAGTCTTCCAAGCTTTCGGACTCGTGCTGGAGCCCATCCTCAGGGAACTTCTCTCTCACCAGAATGTTGAGTGAGGGAAAAGTTGCCTGAGGAGGGGCTCCAGCATGAGTCTAAAAGCTCAGAAAATTAAACCTCTGATCCCAGTGATCAACTCAGATTGGATCCTGCAACATTAACCTGGGATATGTGCATTTGACTTCATTCTTGAAAACACCAATGATGTTTCTGTCAGAGTGTTTGCAGCATGACTACTATTGTGAGACAACCCAGGAGCACAACACAGCACACAGAGGCTTTGTCTTTTAACAATGGTTTATATACAAGGCTGCTATATACATACATATATGCGTTAGGCACATACCAGGCAAGCAATCAGTCTTCATTACTCTGCATGGTGAACTACAATGAAGATAGAACATGAGGAGAGAGAGATACACCCCCTCATGGCCTCCTTTATATAGACAGCTTCTTAAAGTGGCAATACCCTGCATCAGCATTTACAGCAGCCTTACCACAGCTGGTCAGCTATTAAATCTCTAATACCTAACAAGTGACAAGAACTAAATATTGTTGACGTGCTTCACTTGCCTATGAATTGCTCAGTTGCTTACATTCAGTGGGTAAACAGCACGAACCTTGATGCAGCATATGCTGTTACAGACTAGATAAAAAGATGATATATAGAGCTTCAAAACAGCAGGACTCGAGTCGCTTCTGCTCTCGTTCTCATCTCTGATTCCATAAGTTGCAAAATAAAAATCAATGTTTACGGTTAGGTTCTCCAAGCCCCTCTGCCATTTTCCCCCAACACAGCTGCCGACAAACCCCCACCAAAGAAAAATGTCCACAGTGGGAGAGATGTCAGAGCACACAGCATATAGAGGGGTGGTGGCCTCAGCAATCACCACCAGGCCCACAGGTGTGGCTGATGTGGAAAGCATGGCTGGCAACACAAGCAAAGCTGGCACAGCCTGTTCCTCCAGGAACAAAGCTGAAACAGGTTCAAATCCAGGACCAAATGAAGTCCAGACCAATCCAGCTTGGTGTTCACCTGGACATTCTTCTAAACTTCTAAACTTCTGTAGAACTATGAAGCTATGAGGACTATGAAGCTATGCTGCCTCTCTCTGACTCTATCTCTCTCCCTCTCTCTCTCCCTCTCTATTTCTCTCTCCCTCTCTCTTCTTCTGTTTCTTTCTCTTTCTCTCTTTCTTTCCCTCTCTCCCTCATCTTTTTCTCTCTTCTTTTCTTTCTCTCTCTCCCCTCTCTCTCTCTCTCTCTCTCTCTCTCTCTCTTTCTTTCTTTCTTTCTTTCTTTCTTTCTTTCTTTCTTTCTTTCTTTCTTTCTTTCTTTCTTTCTTTTTCTTTCTCTCTTCCCCTCTCTTCTCTTTCTTTCTCTTTCTCTTTCTCTCTCTCTCCTCCTCTCTCCCTCTCTTTCTCTTCTCTCTCTCTTTCTTCTTCCTCTCTCTCTCTCTTTCTCTTTCTCTCTCTTCTCTCTGTTTCTCTCATTTTCTTTCTCTGTCTCCCTCTCCCTACCCCTCTCTCTGTCTCTGTCTCTGTCTCTGTCTCTGTCTCTGTCTCTGTCTCTGTCTCTCTCTCTCTCTCTCTCTCTCTCTCTGTGTGTGTGTGTGTGTGTGTTGTGTTTCCATTTTATTAGTGCCACATTTATTCTAAAAATGTACCAATATTACTGCCTGATCACTGGACTAAAATTCTCAGAATCTGCATCGAAATTAGCCACACCGGTTTAGAATTCGGAAGGGCTGTTAAGACAAGGCAGCCGACTGAAGTCCATATTATATACAGAACAAACTCCATTCTTGCATCCCCGTTTAGCCCATTCAATGTGTCCCTCTATGGACTGCACAGTATGGAAAAGATTCATTTTTCACACCAGAACAAAACAAGTAACCAAAGAAAGAAACCCTTAAGGAATTCTGGGAGAACATGGTGGGAGCAGAGCCATACAGAGCAGAGAGATAAATGGTCTAATTATAATTATTGACGTTCACTTCCAGATGGCTGGAGGGTCTCCGGTCCACCTCAGAAACCTTCAGAAGAAAGAGGATGAAGCTCCGTGGCTCCCACTGCTACATAGTTAATTCTGCCGACTGTAACAGCACATTCTAATGAAAAGACCTGTGAAATTAATCTAATATCAGTATAAATAAACACTCGGGAGCAAAACTTGGAGCAGCCTCTAAAGTGCATCCCAATCTTTGAGTAGAGACTATGTTGCTGCCGGTATTATAAATCAAACTGGATTCCAGGAAGTCAAGAGTGAGGTGTCATTCGAGATGCAGGTAATGAATTGCCAGCCTGCTTTCTTCAGACACTACTGGAAGCCAAACAGCACGGCTCCTTTTCTTTAATTTATGGAGCTTTCGTGTGGAACATGGAATATCGCACTTCACAATCTTTCCCACCGTCTTCCATATTTCTCAAAGTAAAATTAAGGTGGTGTTCTTTGAGTGGCCATTTAAAGCATATTTTCAAAGTGTTTTTTATAGTGTAAACCTGATAAATGTTAAAATCTATTTATTCGTCCATCCATCCATCCATCCATCCATCCATCCATCCATCCATTCATTCACATTTCTGTATTTTTGTGTCCCCTGACTCCTCAATGATCCTGAACACCTTACAAATAAAAGAGGAAGCGATATATACAGAGGTGGTGTTCAACAGGTTCTGACCAGTTCTGGAGAACCGATAGCGGAAATTTTGAGTAGTTCGGAGAACCGGCAAATCCCACCTCTGACTGGCCCCGCCCCCATCTATTCTCTGCCTCCCGAGTCCCAGCAGGGTCTTCCTTTGTTGCCCTGCACAGGAGAACCGAGCTGGAAAGCAGGTTAGTGGGGTGGGGAGGGAATGGAGATTTTACAGTATCCCTTGCCATACCCACTAAGCGACACCCACCAAGCAATGCCATGCTCACCAATGCTAGAGACTATCTAATAAAGAGCTGGGGAGTCTTTAGGTGTGGAAGGAAGGATTCTGGTTTTTAACTAGAACCCAGAGATCAATTAAAGTTGGAACAGAAGCACAGAGTTTGAAAGGATCGTTCAGTTCACTAGATTCAACCATTTTCTCGGTGCAGGAATTTACACTCCTCTCCAATGTGTCTGCTTGAACTCATCTGGCAAAGCAGAGGCTACCATCATCCCCCCAGAATTGGTTCCACTGTAAAATTAATTTTCATGCACCTATCCTTACATGCATATTTAGAATTAGTTCTAAGACTACCAATGTATTAGTCTACCAGAACTCAATTGAGTTCACAATTCTTCCAAACAAAAATCATCCCAGAGTCCCTCATGTATTTATATTTACCAGTATGTTTATTTATTTATCATTCCAGCAGCATGCAAACTTATTAATATTGGTATTATCAAACCACTGAAATGTAAAACCTTCCCTCCAGTATTCTAAATTACTAAAAATGTGCAGGATAAGCAGACCTGTGTTCTGTCAAACCAGATCTAGTTTTTCCAATGGTGTCCAGCTGGAATCACAGATCCCTTGAGCTGGAAAGAGTTACGTAACAGTAAGAGAGAGAGAGAGAGAACAAGGCCAGAAGGAGAATAATTTTATCCCTCCTGTTATCCATAGTATCTGGATTTCATCATATGGCCTTGAGTTCCATAATTGTAAAGAAATGAGGGAAGGGCAGATTATTTTAATTTATTTTGTTGCTATATATAATTACTGTCTGGATTATTTAAGGAGCACTAGGCAAATGAGAATATCTATGTCACGGGGGTCAAACTCGTCCTGTCACGTGATGTTTCACAATGTTTTCCCCCTTCGCGGAGCTGGAGTGGGCATGGCCTGCACATGACATCACGCATTGGGCCTACGGGTTGCCAGTTTGACACCCCTGATCTATGTGAACTATCCTGTGTACTAGTCCAGAGAAGAGCCCAACCAGAATTACTAATCCTGTCTTCATTGTAAGGTTATATTAACAGAATCTTGTAAGACTGAAAGTATTTTTCCACTCATCTATGGAGATGCTCAAGCATTCTCAGTCATGTCTCAAAGATGCTTTTGCAATAGGCAACTGGAACTTTCTATGTTCTTCCTTGAAGATATTTCACTTCTCATCAGAACTGATGAGAAGCTTCTTGGATAACGAAACAAACATTTTCAAGAAAAACTCCAGTTGCCTTTTGAAACAGTACCTTTGAGATATTTCTCCATTCCTTCCGTTTTACTTTCTAGAAAACTAGGCAGGGTCCCTTCTAACATATTTTCCACAACTTTCCTCACTCTGTGAGCTGAGATATCTTTTACATACCAGTTGGCGACTCCATGTTTTGCCTCCTATCTCCCAAGGTCCTTCTCAGATACCATTACATAAGGGGTCCCCAATCGCCAGGCTGTTATAGCCCTGTTGGAGTCTGAATCTGTGGGGGAAGATGAGCTGGAACCTGAGCCAACAGAGATTGAAGGGGCAGTTTTGTTGGCTTCGGAGGAAAATGGGGAAGGCCAGGGACTTTCAGGATTAGGACAGCTTGTAGACAGGGAGGAACAGGGGCAGGATGACCATGAGAGACAGAGCTCAGGCAAGGACCACCCCCTCCTGATCTGAGAGCACAGAGAGTGGAGAGAAGGTGAGAACAGCAAAGAATGAGCAGGCTGCTTGGGAGAAGGGTGCCATTGTAACTTTGAACAGTCACTCAATGAACTGTTGTAAGTCGAGGATTACTTGTACTGGGGATGAGAGTTGTACAGTTTTGCCATGCCACTTAGCAAACATGTAATCTTCCAGCATCTGTTTCAGATAATTTCTACACATTTAACTTGGGATGAGAAAAGAACCTTCTGCCCAACTACAGAGTTCATGCTGTATCTTAACCTTTCAAAACAGTTCGTGCCATTTGGACAATTTGCCTTATTATTTTCATCCTCATCTACTTACCTTCCATGATTGTCAGAGGATCTTCTACTTTGGGACGTAGGATGTTGGGGCCAAACACGGTTGCAAGATTTTGCACACTCATTTTGTTGACTCCAGAATAGGACTGAACTTCATCCAAGAATCTGTTCAGAAATTCAAAGAATCAGGGGTAGGTAGGGCAGGAAGAGAGTGAAAGTCCAGGATTCAGTCACACGTGATGACAGGATCTCATTAGATGGAACATGCTAAATAGAATTAGGAATCACATACATAAATTCTTTTAAAAAATAAGCTGCAGAACCAGGGGTGGGATTCTACAGGTTTGGACTGGTTTGCGCGAACTGGTAATTTTGGTGATCATTTGGCCCTGCCCACTGTGTTCTGCCCTTTTCCTGTGCTTTATTTTCTTGTTTTTGAGCACAGCTGATTCGCCCGGCAGAGCGGTTTGCCGCACATCAGCTGTTTTGCTGACCGGAGATGCAGCAGAAGGTAAGTATTATAGCTAAAAATGGTATTTTCTAAATGCTGTGCCTGTGCATCACTGAACCGGTTATTATACTAGTTGAATTGCATCACTGTGCACAACCTCTGCTACAATCTTGAACGGGATTGCCTGATTCTCTGGAGCTCCTTTTATATTGTAGGTAGGGAAAAGACACAGGGAATATCTTTGGGGGAGAAATGGAGAAAGACAGATAATTCTTGGAGGAGGAACATAAGTTCCCTTATTCTCCCTTATTCTCCAAGGGTTGATCAGATTCTCATTTCCTGTTATCTTTGAATCATCCCTGCTTGCAATGGATTATATTTTGTCTACTTTAGCCCACAGAAAATTTCCTTGCTTGAATTTGGAAAAAAAAAGGAAAAAGAAATGGAATATAAAGTCAAAAGGAAGCAAAGATCAGAACTAGAAGAGCCTCAGAAAGTTTTGGCTAGATTCCAGGAAAATAACTGTTCTTCACCCAGTTCTACCTAAATTCTTGTCTTATTCATGTTGTCTCTATATTTGTTAATATGGCATTGAATCCAGATGTGTCCAGGCATAAAATGGATTTGTTAAAACCATTGGGACTTGTATTGGCTCTATTGATTCCATTGAGCTGGCTATAATATAATTCTCCTTTCTTCTTCCTTCCTTTCCTTCTTCTTCCTTCTGTGCTCTCTTCCCATCTTTCTTTCTCGTTCTTTGTCTTTCCTCTTTCCCTTTCTCCTTTCCTGACCCTTCTTGGCATGCTCAAATGCAAAAGGAGAAACATTTCTCCTTTTGTTTTGTTTTTAGTTTGTTTTGCTAGCTCTCTGCCAGAAAAAAGCAAAGAAGCTCCGTTTTCACGAGCAGAGGCACCGAAGGCTGGTCCTTTGCTGTTTCGAGGGAAACCCCGTGGGCCAGATCTAAGCACCCTGTGGGCTGAATCCGGCCCACAGGCCTTGAATTTGATATCCCTGTTGTAGAGGATGATAGTAACCACAATCCAGCCTATCTGAAGACCTTTAGACTAGGCATTGCAGTTCAGGTAATCATAATCTGGGAAATTACTAAAGGTGAAGGTTCCCCTCGCACATATGTGCTAATCGTTTCCGGCTCTAGGGGGCGGTGCTCATCTCTGTTACAAAGCCGAAGAGCCAGCGCTGTCCGAAGACGTCTCCGTGGTCATGTGGCCAGCATGACTAAATGCCAAAGGCACACAGAACGCTGTTACCTTCCCACCAAATTGGTCCCTATTTTCCTACTTGCATTTTTACATACTTTCGAACTGCTAGGTTGGCAGAAGCTGGGAGAAGTAATGGGAGCTCACTCCCTTACGCAGCACTAGGGATTCAAACCACCAAACTGCTGACTTTTCTGATTGACAAGCTCGGCGTCTTAGCCACTAAATACAAAATAGAAGTGGATGGAATTGTGAGATTTCCTCAGTGTGGTGTGATGGGACTGGAGGTCTCCACATTCCCAGCCAATTCTCAGAGATTGTAGACTCCATATACTTGTAATAAGGATTCAGACAAAAAAACCAAAACACCAGTCTGCAATTATCCTAATAAAAGCACTGAAAACAATTGGCCTGTCTAATGATATATTGGACACAGCCACATTATGATTTTTTTTTTTTGTCAGGATGATTTACCTGCAAATGTACTTGAGTAGATTAAAGTTGACGAGCGGCAAATTCTTCACTTGCTTTGCTAGTTCATTCAGCCCCTGTTTGAATGTGTAAGAAAAAAAAAGTGAACATGGAGACATATCCAGCACCCATGCAAATATTTAGGAACTAAATTCAGGTAGAAATCCCCAGATAAGATAAGAGGATTTGGGTACTAACCAGTGGTGGGATTCAATGTTTTTTAAACTACCAGTTCTGTGGGTGTGGCTTGGTTGGCCTGGCTTGGTGGGTGTGGCTTGGTGGGCGTGGCTTGGCGAGCTTGGCAGGGGAAGGATACTGCAACATCCCATTCCCTCCCCACCCCACTAACCTGCTTTCCAGCTCCGTTCTCCTGTGCAAAAGAAGACCCAGCCAATCAGCTGGGACTCAATGGGAGGCAGATAATAGATGGGGGTGGGGCCATTCAGAGGTGGGATTTGCCAGTTCTCCAAACTACTCAAAATGGCCGCTTCTCCAGAACTGGTCAGAACCTGCTGATGACCACCTCTGGTACTAACATAAATCCAAACCGAGAGACCAAGCTCACCGTTTCCTTTTCTTTGCTGAGCATTTTGGCACAGGAGAGAAACTCTTCATATTTGGAATATGGGATAACCGGCTCCGGCAACTCCCTGAGGTAGAGTTTCAACAGTGAGGCCACTGTGTGGACATCTGTATTTCTGCAGGAATGGAACAGAAAAATATCTACTTGTAAACGTAAGATTAGATCTCTGAACATCTCATATCCATTGTGGACCTCTTTGGATGCTTCTAAAGCAAGTCATATTACCTATTCAGAAAACCTTTACACAGGTAGTCCTCGACTTACACCAGTTCATTTAGTGACCGTTTGACGTCACAACAATGCTAAAAAAAAAAAGTGAATTATGACTGTTTGCACACTTACGCATCCCCATGGACCAATGATCAAACTTGCAGTGGTTAGCAACTGGCATGTATTCCTTGAATTATGACGATAATGGAGCCTGCCTCTTGTGGTTTTAAGTTGTGTTGGTCATAACGCGGGTCATACACATGACCAACTTGACCTTACAGCCTTTTTTGGTTGTAAAACACCATGGTCATTGTTTACTCTGGGGGCATTTTTGCTTAAATGTTTTGGCAAAATCCTCATAAACTATCGTCATCTGAGCAGGACACTGCAAACAGTCATACATTCAGAATAGAATAGAATAGAATAGAATAGAATAGAATAGAATAGAATAG